TAAAGTAGAATATTAAAAATATGTAATAAATAAATATTTTATATTCATCAATTGTATTTGACCAAAATCACTTCACCCAGCAAGTAAACCAATTAAGAAGCCATTTAAATGGGTAAAAGAAAGGGATAGTAAGCCAGGTGACTAGCATGCTTTTAATATTGGATTAAAAGAAACCTTTAAGAAAAAATGAAAAGACAATAATACTTTTTTCTTTGTATTAAAATTCTTCGTCTCAACGAAAAATATTGCACAAGGGGGTATCGTTCCCATTTAAAGAGTGGAGGGATATTTGGGGGAGGGGGAGGGTCAAAGGGGATTTAACGCGATTTGTGTAGGCATATAAAAGCAAAAAGGACAAAAAAATAAAAAATAAAAAAAATAAAAAAGAAATATGAGGTCAGTATTTATCAATTAGCCACATTAGAGAGGAGACCCAACTCCTGCTATCGAGTTACCATGGGAGATTTGCATTTATACCCGCTTTTTGGGTCACGTTTTAACTTGTACCCGTTTTACAAAAAAATTGCAAGCGTACCCACTTTTTCGAGTAACTTCAGCATACGGGGCTGAAGTAGCAAAGACAATCACGCAAAACTTCAGCATTCTAGTAGACGGGCATGAAGTAGCAAGTGTGCTGAAGTTTTTGTTTGTAATTGTTGAACCTAAGCATAGTAGCTGAAGTTTTGTTCTCTATTTGCTAAAGTTTTTGTTTGTAATTGTTGAACTTAAGCATAGTAGCTGAAGTTTTGTTCTCTATTTGCTAAAGTTTTTGTTTGTAATTGTTGAACTTAAGCATAGTAGCTGAAGTTTTGTTCTCTATTTGCTAAAGTTTTTGTTTGTAATTGTTGAACTTAAGCATAGTAGCTGAAGTTTTGTTCTCTATTTGCTAAAGTTTTTGTTTGTAATTGTTGAACTTAAGCATAGTAGCTGAAGTTTTGTTCTCTATTTGCTAAAGTTTTTGTTTGTAATTGTTGAACTTAAGCATAGTAGCTGAAGTTTTGTTCTCTATTTGCTAAAGTTTTTGTTTGTAATTGTTGAACTTAAGCATAGTAGCTGAAGTTTTGTTTTCTATTTGCTGAAGTTTTTGTCTGTAATTGCACTAAATAAGCTGAAGTTTTTTTGTCCTGGATTCATTAGTTGTCATTAATCTTTTTCACAAACTTCAGCAGAAGATGCTGAAGTTATTTAGTTCATTTATAAAAACTTCAGTACTAAATAAGGTGAAGTTTTTTTGTCCTGGATAGCTTTTTCAAAAACTTCAGTAGAAGATGCTGAAGTTATTTAGTTCATTTGTGAAAACTTCAGCACTAAAAGCTAAAGTTTTTTTTGTCCTGTAATGTGTATGATCTCATTCAGATAACTGCTAATGAGTATGTCCTTTACCATTTTTCTCGATACTGCAGGATGAATTGGTGTTCTTCAGTGGCATCATGTTGTTGTTCTTTGAGGTTCCTGTTTCATCTAGATAATAGGATTTCTGTGTTGATTTAATAAATGATGTTTATAGAATCTGTTTCAGTTCTATTCTTTGTGCTTTTGGATAAAAGTAGTAGTGGAATGATTGATTTTCCTTGCGTTTTTTTAATCTAAAAGGGTAACAAAATATTTAGACGGAGAAGACGAGAATATTTCTGTCAGTCACAGACTCAGAGGTGTACTATGAAATACTCATAAATGTAAAAGTGANATTTTAAAAATTGGGTATAGATTAAATAGGGGCGACGTGCAAATTTTCCAGTTACCATATCAAAGACTTTAACTTTTCTAAGAGGCTCATCTTATGTCTTATCCCATGTCAACATTAACCAATAGAAACATAGAATAACAGTCAAAAGTAGGGCTAAACTAGAATTATCCAAAATCAACGAACTTCTTCAGAAGTGATTTATAAGTTCAAAAAGCACCGTAAGGATAATGGCAAAGAAGATATATCATGTGTGAATGGTGAAGCTAAACCTCCTTCACTTTTGTTTATAACTTGCGTCGCAGTTGAGATAGGGTGATAATGTAAAGTCAGACGAGAGAATTATAAAAAACAATGATGCTGATGTAGACTTAAAAAATAGATGACTTGTTGACAGATTAAGCTTTTAAATAAAACTACAAAAAGAGGACGCTAGATTCAGTTCATATGGCCACATGATCAAAGCCAATTTATAGAACACACACAAGGGGGNGCGGAAACGAAGTTATGTTGTTTAGAGTTAACCAACCTTCCAACATGCTTCTGATATTTTTTAGGATGTACTCCCTCCATTCACTAATATTTATTCACTATAATAAAAATATATTTTCAGTTTTACTTGTTAATTTTAGCAAATCAGGAGAAGATCATAAAAAAAAAAAATTGTTTTACTCTTATCATCCATTACTCATTTCACAAATTATTTTCCAAAATTTTTCAAAATACTATCATTATTATGGGTATTACGGCAAAATATGCACGTCACCAATTATTTCTTAAGAGGTGTATAAAGTTTGTTGTGGACAAATAAAAGTAAACGGGGAGGAAAAGATCACACAACCAATCGATTGAATAAGTACTTTAAATTTGGTTCTTAGCTCTAGAAAACAAAAATATGTGCGCGTGGCTGTTTCTGTGTGGAAAACATTCTCACCCATGTCTCAAATGTTGCTCATTTTCTCCAAGTTATTCTTGGCCTACGTCAAATAATTGGATATTTGAAGCACTAAGAATCAAGACTTAGTTGATTCATAGCCTCTTTGACCAAATTTCGGGGAAATTAAAAGTACCTATTTATTTAAATAAGTAATTATTTTAGAGTATTGAGGTATTTGGCCAAACTTCTATTAAAAAATAAATAATAATAAGTGCTTCTGAATAGTAGCAGAAACTATTTTGAGAAGCTGAAAAAAGTAGCGTCTTCCTAGAAATACTTTTTGAAAGTTGCACAAGTACAAATTGATGGCTAATATTGACAAATGTGCTTTTCAAGTTAATTAGCCAAACACAAAGCTTGACCTAACATGCAATCATTTCTTTTTTGTTTGGAGAAAATTTACTAATAGCCATCTTTTAATATGATGTAATTGAAAAATAGCCACTATCATAGAGTTTTAAATTCTATCGGTGAAATTCTAGGACATTGTCATAAAGTCTTACTTATGGAATTGACAATGACTATTTTTTAATTACAGAGCTGAAAATGGCTAGGCCGCACTAATACTACGCTTTTGCTAGATTTACTAAATTTGTGTAGATCCAAACCTTAGCCAGAAATGGGCCGTTAGCAACTTCTTCATCCTTAAATGCGTATCAAGAGACTCTATCCACATACAGGAGTCTTGGAATTGAGCAATAAATGTGATTCATGAATGATGAACAAATAGTTTGCTCAGAACACTGAACATGAGAGCAAATTAATATGGAACATTATATTGACGATGACATGTTCTGAGATGAATATGAACATGTGGTAAATGCTTATTAAACCAATGAAAGCAGAATAAGTTACCTACTAAGGTCTGGAACATTGATCAAATGCACTTTTGGATAAGTGAATTTAGAACAGATAAGGAATAGAATTACTTGTAGCATACGATAGGTGTGTCATGCGTTCTTTCCTAGTTCCTACCTAGAAGTAGCTACTGGCTGATGATTCCAGAATTCAGATTTAGGTAAATGCACAGTCCGCTACTTAACAAGTTTTGTGTAATTAGTAGTATTACCTATTGTTTTAATTGATTGGTTTGGTTTGGTCAGCAAACTTTGAGTAAGGAACAACGTGTAATGTCGCTCACTTTTAAAAAAATAAGAAAAACAAAAAGAAGTTTAGCAAATTGCCTCGTCAAACATACTTGATATAATAAAGAAACTAAATTTTCAAACACTAGGTTACGAATATTTTAAGCTTATACGTATGAGTAGTCTGTGGGCTGATGTATAGCTGAGAAGGGAGAAATTCAAAAATAGCCAGATTTAAAAGTGGTCATTCAAAAATAATCACAGTTTCAAAAGCAATCGAAATTTAGTCACTTCTCATGTAAAAATAAATCTGAACAAAAACACTGTTCAAATTCCGGAAAAATACTTCAGCATAATATACTGGAGTTCCAGTATAATCCAGTATTAGTATAATATACTGGTCCAGCATAATATCCTGGAGTATGGAGCACCGGTGCTCCATTCTCCAGTATATAGTACTGGAGCCAGCAAAGTATATCGATTCAGCATAATATGCTAGAAGTTCATACACAGGTGCACCGAACTTCAGCATATTATGTTGAACCGGTCTTTGTTGCAGTAAAATAGTGACTATTTTTCAATGACTTGGTAAACGCTGGCTATTTTTGAATGACCAGTCCGAAAACTGGCTAGACCATGCTATTTTAACAGTTGACAAAGGTTACCACAGACCAGAATAAGTAATGCAAGAATTCAATTACTATTATTTACATTAATATATATTAATTATTACTCACCACAGTATAACTAGCATTGAATCAAGGGACCCTTAGATTTCAAAATCTCATACCAAAGTATGTGCCCCCAATACAGTTTAGTGGTCAAGAAATAATAGTTTAATCACGACTCATAAGTACCCAAAAATTCTAGTGACCTGTAACCCATTTAATTATGTAAAAGAAAAAAGAAACAAGCTTGTCGCTCACAGATAAAGAAACTTTACAAATTATGGGGAAAAGCAGGAAGAAGAAAAAGTTCTCAAGCATTTTTACAATGAATGATAACGTGCAGAGTCTCACATAATGGGGATGTTAAAGAATTTTAGCTAATCATGACCATAATTCAAGTCTTAGACCAAAACATATGCTCCATAAAAAGAGTAAATCATTACACATATAAAAGAGTAAACGTATTACTACTAGTAAATAACAATGGAAAAAATAAAAAATGAAACCAGAAATAAGTCGCTATTTACTCTATGTACTTTTTAGAATCAGCAATATTGACCCAAAAAGGGCAAAAAAGAAAAGGATAAACATGATATGAAAACCTCAACTTGGATAAATGACGTTGATCAACTTTTGATTTCACGGCTCAGGGTATCAGCTGTAGACACCATCATCTTCTGATCAGGTGGGACCATGACCGATGTCATTGCTGTAGCTGGCGCGAAATTGTAGACAGGTTGGTCCATATATTGACCGCCCCCACCCACTAACCCTTGCACACCAAACTGTCCAAACCCAGTTGTATGATACCCACCAGTCATCATCATTGGTACCCCGAACACCATCTGCACCGCATTACCATAGGCCCCACCTGTCACGTGACTTTCACGTAAGCCTTGTTGTGTTTGAACATTCTTCACCAGCAAGCTACTGCTGTCACGTACTATCTCTGATGCAGAAATTTTCGGAACTCTCACTGTGCCGCCTCCACTTTCCTGATTTTTTGGTGTATCCATAACCGAATTTTCTGGAGCCGCCAATATTCCTGGGATTTGCAATTGCAGAAGATCCGCTGTTGGCGTTAAACTTGGGTTCGGGTTAGAGTTCGGATTGTATTCCTTATCGAACCCGAATAGAAAATCCGGAGTCGAAGGGGATACCGGTAACCGGATTGGGTAGAAAAGGAAGAGCCTTAACCTAGCCGTTTTTGTGGTAACTTTCTGCATGCGATCGTATTCAATCATCATCTGCTCCACATCATCGTCATCAACAAGGGAAACAAGTGCATCGAGATCTTCACCAGGCAACTGGTACTTTATACAAATCTCCGCGTTGATATTACACAGAGAATTCAGCTTTGCAACCATGTCGGCAAACTTGACGTTCCGATCAACGGTGAGGATTTTGGTGTCGCCGCCGACGTAGGAGAGCTGATGGTCGTGTGGGCGAAGCTGAATTTTTCCGCCATAGCTACACATTAGCTTAACTTTTTGATTCTCCATAGCCGCCGCCAAAAATTCGAGCGAGAATAAGGGAGAAGACGGAGGGTTTGGTTTTTTGGGGTATTGAGATTTTCTGAGAAGTGTTACTGTGTGTGGCGATACATCGTTGAGTGATAGTGGCTCAGGATATTAGAATTGAGAATTTGAGGGTTTTGATCTTTAAAAGGAGTATAAATGGGTCCACACGGAAAGAGAATTACGCGTCGGTGGCCCAGTAAGCATGGCCCACTGTAGTAAATTTGAGAAGCATCAGATGAAGGGGAGCTTCTGAAAACAAACTTTAGAGAGGGAAATTTTGGGTGGGATTAAGAAGATTGTGGATATATTTTTTCCTTTTTAAGGATGTGGACTCTTCCCTTAAATCAACATTCAAAAGGAAAAGAACTAAAAATGACGAGGACACTTCCTTTCGTCAATCTTCAAATTCAAACTTAAGGTTTGCCCGCTAATTTAATTCTTTTGTGTACTTTCACCTATTGACAATTTGACATGAAGTTTTGTCGTTTATCCTAATAAAGGGGATACTTTTTTAGTTGTGACGTCTATTTTCAAAAATTTGTTACTAAATGATTTTTTGGAATTATTGCAAATATTTTGTTAACTCTAGTGAGATTGATTGCACAAAACAAAGTAATTTTTGTAAAAACAGAAAAAAGAAAAGATTCAACAAAATATTTTCATGTGTGTTTTAAACTAACGCAACTTTAGTCCATTGCTTTAGGAAAGTCGTTCAAAATCTTTTACACAAACCAAAACCCAAAAAAAATTGATTTAAAAAGCCGATTTTGGTTCAAACAAATTACAATCAAATAGTCACGATTCAAATTCATGGCACGCATTATCCGTTTTAGCCCAACAAATCTCACGGATTTGTTTCTTGGGCTACGTTATCATCGAGCTTAAAAGCGCGTGTAGCCGTGTACCATGTGGACTTGTATTGTATTTTATAAGGCTTTTCATTTTTTTCTCCCATTCCGATATGGGATTCGCCTAAATTTGTCAGAACATTCGCAGCGGAAGCAAGCATACAATCCAACATCAAATACATGTGAACTAGACAACGTAATAATAACGAGATTAGAAGCACTAACCTCTTGAAGTAGTTGCACAAACTTTCCAAGCAGCAAGAATCCAGGGCTGCAGTCTTCTACTATTTGCCTAGTAAAAATTTTGGACGATTTTGCTATTGGGTGGCAAGAACAATACAACTGAAAGGTAAGTTATTAGGTGAAACTAGTCTTCCTTTAATAGACTTATTTTTGGATGAAAATCCTCCTCAAAAAATGTGTAGGATTCTCCTTTTCCAAGTAGAATCCTACTCCAACTCTATTAGATGACTTTTCTCCCAAGTCACTTTTTACCCAAGTCTTGTCCAGGTTTTTACTAGGTATAGCATAGACCACAGAAATAATAAGAGGCTACCAATTATAGTATTAATTCGAAATTAGCATGAATTAATTCTTACTATAATAAATTGCAATTTATTCCACTAAAAGACTGCAATTGAACTCCTCAATATGAATTTCTAAAATTCAATAACACTTATTTTAACTCCCCATGTTAAGATCTCAAATACCAGTTAATTAAATTAAATCACTGAAAATTTAGTTTAATCAACTAATTAAATCCTTTACAATTCCGCTTAAAACATTTCATGTGACGGATACAAAATTCACCGGCTGGGTTTTCACATGAAAACTTATAAGCTTACGTAAAGGGGTTTCATCAAACTCAAAATGAGTCATGAATTTTATCAACTAATTATTATTCACAAATGTTATTCGTTATTGTCCAATCTATTAGGCATACACTAACTCTAAATAGAGTCGTACCTTTTGATAAATCAAAACAATAAACAAATTACATTGATCATAATAATTATATCAAGAGGAGTATAAGCTCAATTAATGAATTAGAGAAAATGTTTTATATATTCAGTACAAAAACATCTTTTCTCTACTTGGTCTGTTCAATATACACTGAGTATATTAGCACAAGAAGTTGGAGTAAAACTACTCCCATAATCAAGACAAATTATACTATAATCTTGTGCTACAATCATCAAGATATTTTGTCCAACAATATCTTTGATTGTGAACATAGTTTATTAATTATGAGAACCAACAATTTAATCTTCTATGCATGAGCTAAGACTCCATACACTAAATGTCTACTACATAATTAAAAGGACACACATATAACAAATGATCTATTTAACATAGTACTTTATTGAATTGAATAAATTAAATAAATAATTATTCCATAAAGAATAAAATATAATACTATATCTAAACCGCATGATTAATAGTATATCCCAACAGTTGACATGTGCAACTATTATTAGAAGTTTGCCTGCCTAGAAGCCTTCTGGTCCTGCTTGATCTACCCTTATCAGTTCGTGTTCCGTATGTAACACCCCAGTGAATCTTATATCAACAAAATACGAGAGAAATACTAGGTATACAAGTGAACAAGTCTTTGATCTTAGTAACATATCATGAATAATATTACTAGTGAACTGGACTGTTACAAATATTTAAGCAAAAATGATCTGAAAGTAGATTTTACAAAAATAAATATAAAAAAATTTTAATTGGAAAGCTGATAGCATATGCACGATCTTTTTTTCTTTAAAAATTATTGTTCAAAAACGTTTTGAAAAGTACTTCTCAAATATTAAAGGTAAACCACATTCAAACGATATTTCAGGTTTGATGGATGAAACTAAAAAATGGAAATTCGAATGAGATAATGAAGGATATGGAGAGTTGATGGGGATGGGCGTGCGGTGCTGGTGGGGCTGCGACTTACGACTTAGGCCTTGCCCCACGTAAGGGTCCGCCCAACGATCTTATATCTAGTCTTTGAATCTAGTCGATATTGGAGGAAAAAATCTAGTGTAAATTTATTCTCCAAAAAAGGAAACAATTTTTAAAAAAATAAAGAGAACCTAGTCACATTAAAGTTCAGAATTAACTCATTCCTTTTAATTCTAAAATTTAATTGGTTTAGGATTTGGGAAAAAAAAAGCTTCGCCTAACCTTTCAAAATTTAAGTAATGGAATCCACTTCCTCAATTTTAAAAGAAAGGAATTACTGCAGTCTCAACTATAACCGCTTAAAATTTAAAAAGTAAAAGAAATAAAGACCAATATAGTAAATAAAGACCAATATAGTATATATATAATAAAAGAAATAAATGAGTCCATACATGTATATATTTACACGCTGAGGCTATATACTATAGTTTATTTTCCTCTTCTTTTTATTTGGGGATACAAACTTGAATCCGAAGTCCAAACAAGTCTGAAAGAGTTGTCACATCTTGTTATATGTCACATTCTCCTTAGTCCCTTTTGCTTATGAAAATGGCATATTTAATTAGTAATTAATGAGTATTGACGACAGCTGCAAAGCAGTAATCTAGAGAATGTGACATTAGCAGTAGCATTTTGGGCACTGAATTGTCATATCAGAAACTTTAAATAAAATTGAAAAAATATTGTTGCTTGTGTACAATATCTTGTAGGAATACTAAAACTTAATTATCACCATAAGGCTCTCATTATAAAGTTCCAAGCATTACTCATAGTGTATGTATGTATATATANGAATTTTTTCCAGCTTAATTTGGAGCCAGCTTTGGAGGATTGGAGGGTGCGTCGGGGATATACTTACACCTAATGTTTACATCAAATCAAAAAATATATAACATGTCTTCTATGTATTGTTTTATCGCTTAATTATGGTTAATTAAGTACATTTTTATTTGAATTTGATAGTTAACTCTGATAAATTTATATAATTTGGTGTAAACTTTAGGTAATGAAAAGAAGTTGTAAAGATAGCAAAAAGTAGGGAAGCTGTGACAATAGTGTGTTCTTTGAAATGTATCTAACAGTTAATAAATTCAAACTTGGTCCTGCTCCTTTCAAAGTTTCATATCCATTATTCTTTGAAACTTGGTCCTGCTCCAATGATTTTTAAAGAATAATGGATATGAAACTTTGAAAGGAGCAGGACCAAGTTTGAATTTATTAACTGTTAGATACATTATATATGTTAGATACAGTATGTAATATTTGATCTTTGACTTAAATTGACATATTAGAATCTAACGATTCGTTCAACAAGTCTACTAAGGAAGATGAGGATTCCCTTTTTTTTTTCCTTTCTTTTCTTACATAGCCAAAGTGGAGTAGGAAATGCTCAAGTGTGGTGTCACAATGTAATTAGGATTCAAATCGGTGACACTAGTAGAATGTATTATCTCCAATTCTTCATGACAATTGGAGTAAAAGGTGATTAAAATAAAATGAGGCGGTATCACTAGAATTCCAACTCGTGACACAAGTTGTAGTTGAATTGTTTATTTCTTGGTTGTTAGACTAAAAGGGTCATGCCTAACATGACGTTACTGGAACTCGCATTCGTGTCATTATTGGTGTATCTTGGCTATTAGACAAAAAGGATGATGAATATTGACCCGAGCTAAGTAACGATTTGGGGTCTCCTTTGTAATGACGCAGATTACCTTTCAAACAAATGGATTAAGTGATGATCCAAACAAAGAAACGATCAAAGCTTACTGGAAGTACCAAGAAGAAAGGTGTTGAGTCCCATATCTTCTTATATGGTTTTGGATAATTTTCACCTTATGAGCTAGGATGTATTAGTCTGATTCTTCACCAGCTGCTGCAATTTAGTGGTTCAAATAATAGGACAAATTGCAGTTACCATTGCATGTGAAGCTAGCAAAAAAGGTGCTTTTTACGTTTGTTCTGTTTCACATGCAAATCAACAATATAGTAAGACTTTTGGCCCACCATCTTGAATCACAAAGACCAGAAAATTAAGAAAGTGATGCAAAAGTTAGCTGCAACTCAGTGACTATCACACCCAGATGCCTCCTTTTCTCTCACAATTTATAAACAAGAAGAAAAGAACATTCGTGCTCATGTTTCATGTGAAGACATAGCTGTATGTTGCAGGTATGACGA